CAAACCTAACAGTTCTTTCTTACAAAATGTCTTTCCCCCTCCTATTGTAGAGTTGGATTCCATAGATCTGTTCTACAAGGGGATGCTTTTCCCTTGGGTGGAAAGAGTCCTGTGTTACAAAAGGGCTATTTCTGCCTGAAGAATGCGTCTCCTAGATCTGTAGGAGCCAACCTGATGTCTTTATCCTATTACTTTTCGTAGGAGATTGGGATACAAATTCATAAAATAGAAGCATTATGCAGATATAGGGCTTTCCCCACATTCTCATTTTCCTGTTTCTCTGGGTTTCCACCCCCTGTTCCACATGTGTTTTGCTCCCTATAGTGGTCGATTCAATATTACATCACTTTATGTCTGGCATAAAAAGTTACAGGGAGATAAGCCGGACATAAAGAGATGTAATATTGAACTGACCACTAGGGGGAGCAAAACACATGCAGAACAGACCCCCCACCGAGAATGCGGAAAAGCCCTTAATCATACGTAATGCACATTGAAGGGGCTGAGACTGTGGTGTCCCAGGCAACCCCACCCCCATGGTGCAACTATGCTACTTCCCTCTTGCCTGATATCCCTGCACTGCATTCACAGTGCACTGCATTCACAGCTGCCAGATGGACCCTATGCAGCTTCAGATGGCGGTGCGGGATCCAAGGCCCCCTGGCTGTTCGTTGGATGAGCTGGTGGAGGACTGGCATGACCGGCTCTCCTCAGCCATCAACGAGATTGCCCCCAGGCATCCTCTCCGCAGTCGTTCTAGGCGGGCGCCCTGGTATACACAGGAGTTGCGCCAGCTGAAGCGAGAACTGAGACAACTAGAGAGACGGTGGCGTCGCGCTCGCGATGAGGCATCAAGAACATCCTATAGGACGCTTATGAAATCCTATGAGATGGCAGTCAAGGCCGCAAAGAGAGATTTCTATGCAACCATGATTGCATCTGCTAGCTCACGCCCGGCCCAATTATTTAGTACAATTCGGTCTTTGACAGCTCTGCCACAGGGCAGACAAAACGCTAGGGAATTGGATATTGGCTGTGAAGTCTTTGCGAGCTATTTTGCAGAGAAAGTCTTGGCGCTCCGCCGTGACCTTCCCGCCAAAATTGATACAGTGAGCGAACTTGAGGCCCCTTGCACGTATTTGGTGCCGGGTTTAGTGAGTTTTAACCCACTCAGCCTGGAGGAAGTTGACAGATTGCTCGTATCTGTATGTCCAACCACATGCGACCTTGATCCGTGCCCCTCCTGGCTCATTAAAGTGGGTCGCGAGGGGTTTCGAGGTGCCCTGAGGGAGATTGTCAACAAGTCCCTCTTGGAGGGACGGTTCCCTAGGGCACTCAAGGAAGCAATGGTCCGCCCTCTCTTGAAAAAACCATCTTTGGACCCGGCCAAATTGGCCAACTACCGGCCGGTGTCCAATTTGCCCTATTTGGGCAAACTCATTGAGAGGGCGGTGGCGACACAGCTACAGGGCTTTCTGGATGACGCTTCTGTCCTTGATCCCTTCCAATCCGGATGGAGACGGTACTGGTCGCTTTGACTGACAACCTCCGTAGGCATCTGGATCGTGGCGATGTGGCGGCACTGGTGCTGTTAGATCTGTCGGTCGCGTTTGACACAGTCGACCACCAGTTGCTAGCCCACCGCCTCGCCGATGTGGGGATTCAGGGGCTCGCCCTTCAATGGTTTGCCTCTTTTCTCCAAGGTCGGGGACAAAGGGTGGCGATAGGGGATCAGCGGTCCCAGAGGTGGCCCCTTGAATGTGGGGTGCCTCAGGGGGCGGTGCTGTCCCCGATGTTGTTTAACATCTACATGCACCCCCTTGCCCAGATTGTCCGGAGTTGTGGGCTTGGGTGTCATCAATATGCAGATGACACCCAGCTCTATCTGATGCTGGGCGGCCGGTCGGACTCCACCCCGGATGACCTTTATCGGGCGTTACAGGCTGTGGCTGGTTGGCTCAGACTGAGTCGGCTGAAACTAAACGAGGCAAAAACGGAGGTCCTGGGCCTGAGTCGGATAGGTTCGGGGTTGGGGCTCCCTCTCCTGACCTTCGACGGGGCGCCTTTGGTACCAGCGTCGGAGGTTAGGAGCTTGGGTGTGCTTCTGGACTCCACCTGAACGATGGTGGCCTTTTACCATCTTCGGCTGGCATGGCAGTTGGTTCCTTTCCTCGACAGAGATGACCTGGCCACAGTGATCCATGCGACGGTCACCTTGAGGCTAGACTACTGTAACGCAGCGCTGCACTGGCTGCCAATGGCGTACCGGATTCGCTTCAAAGTGCTGGTTTTAACCTTTAAAGCCCTATATGGTCAGGGTCCGGCTTACCTAAGGGACCGCCTCTCCCCTCATGTTCCCCCAAGGTCAGTACGGTTGGGGAATCAAAATCTCCTGGATATTCCAGGCCCCAGGAACATTAAGTTTGCAGTTACCAGGGCCAGGGCATTTTCGGTGGCGGCTCCTACCTGGTGGAATGAGATCATCCACCACCATCATCCGCCATCATTATTCCATCTGCACCCCCCCCCTTTCTTCTTAATTCCGCAAATTGACCGTCTCTGGAGCGGACAATACTGGGGGTGTGAGACGTTCCTGGCATATGACAGCGCTATAGGGACATATATTGTTGTTACTGTATATTATTATCATTACTGTTGTTGCTTAGCATAAGTTATCTTAGAACCCCATCTTGCATCTATAGTTAAATATCCTTGGAGCACCATGGAAGGAATTTTTAGTGAATTGTATTTATTGTATTTTATACTGTTTTGTGTTGTTTTATTGTTTTAACTTCGGCATTTATGCCCCTTGTGAGCCGCCCTGAGCCTTCAGGGAGGGCGGGATATAAATTTAAAAATAAATAAATACAAAAAATGTCATTGAGGCTTCTGTGCAAGGAGGCCAGTCTACCCAATCCATGCATAACAAAACTGTGGTGTGCAGAGGGGGCTTAAGTGTGCTGGTCTAGAAACTCCTATCCAAACGCAAAATTCAAGATGCAATCCTGCTCTCTCCTTTTTCACGGAATCTGAACATCTATGTAACTGAACAAACATGAAGCTGCCTTATACTGAATCAAAAGAGAAAAAAATGTGCAAGGCACCAGAGGTTAACATATTTATGAGCCAATCAATGATTGCAACACATATACGTGAAACCAGAAATAGTATAAAGGCATAAATGGTAATGCACAAAATTAATGAACAATGTACATGGACATCATCAGTAATGCACCAAAACCATCAGTTGTGTACAAAAAACTCAATACAGGAATGCTTTTTTTTCCGGCTAATATCCTGTTTCGAAATCTGACAGTGAGCTTGTGTGTGTAACTTGCAGTCAAATATAACCTTGTGGTATCGTGGCTTGCAGCCAACTTGAACAGAAAAGTCCTCTTTGTAGTCTGCAACCAATCTAAGCAAAAATGCCCTATATAGAATGCATGTTGTAGGTTACATTAATGGGGAAGTTGAAGAGTTTATCCTACATGCAATAAAAGTCAGCAACAAAATATACATAATCAATACATGACCCAGAAATCAACAATTAATGAGTGAAATAAAAATCTCACAAACCTGATTGAAAAACCTACAATAAGGTCATGAATTCAAGCACACACTTGAATGAAGAAATTGACCTGGTATAATGGCAAATCTGCAATAAAATGCACATAATCAATCAGTAAGTTTTCTAACCAGGTTTGGAATTTTTCTACTCATTATCTGTATTTGTTGCAATCATTGATTGGCTCATAAATATTTCTAACCTCTGGTGCCTGGCACATTTCCCCCCCTCTTCTTTATACTGAATCAGCCCATCTAGATCAGTACCGTCTATTCAGGCTGGCAGCAGCTCTCCAGGCTAATAAGATGCTCCACCACTCAGGAATGGTCCCTCTCCTAAAACACTTGGGTGCATGAACACCTGGAGCTGCCTTACACTGAATCAGACTATTGGTCCATCAAGGTCGGTAGTGTGTAGTCAAACTGGCAGCCGCTCTCCAGGGTCTCAGGCAGAGCTCTTTCACATTTCCTACTACCTGATCTTTAACTGGAGATGCATGGATTGAACCTGGGACCTTCTGCACGCTAAGCAGATGCCCTGCCATTGAGCCACAGCCCCTCCCCTAAAAAAACTTGAACACGTAACTCATGAAGCTGCCTGATACTGAATCAGACCATCAATCCACCAAGGTCAGTATTGTCTACTCAGACTGGCAGCCGCTCTCCAGGCTAAACAGATGCTTTAGCACACAGGAATAGGCCCCTAAAAAATTTGGACACATGACACATGAGGCTGAACCAGACCCTTGGTCCATCAAGGTGTCAGCTAGCTGCCATTTCTGTGTATTCTGCCCTTCCCTGTTCCCGCTTGCTTGCCGCTCAGCAGCTTGCAGTAAACATGCCAGGGAGACCGTGGGAGCTAGACGCCATGATCAGTCTGGCCTTGTGAGGTAGGGAGGGCTTGGGGTCCACATTTGGTGTGAATCTTTCTGCTCTCAGGAACAGACTACAACTCTCCCGCTCATTATGTAACCTCCCACTGGGAGTCTTCCCGCCCGCGTGCTCGGAGTTCATTTACTTAGCTAATTGCCTTGCCCAGCTATATGTATTGGGATGTTCCCGCCTTCTAGTTATTCCTAACAATAATCCTGTGGACATGGTACCAGTCTTGTACACTAATAAAGCATAACGCTCCTTAGGAAACGTGTGTGTGGAGAGTGACTTGCTGTGGAACCTGACACAAGGTCAGTCCTGTCTACTCAGACCGGCATTGGCTTCCCAGGGTCTCCTTTGGCATCACCACCTGGCACCTGGCCTTTTTAACTGGAGATGCCAGGGATTGAACCTGGGACCTCTGGCCTGCATAATTTGGAGATAAAATGGGTCAAATAAGGACAGGGTAAATCAAAGGACGGATTGACATGTGCGCAAAAATATTTCTCAAACAGTCTAATCCACTTATCTTGCAGATCTACAAAACTCTCAAGAAGAGCTACCTCTGTTCTCTTATCTTTTCTGGTTCCTTCTCTTTCCCAGCTGTGGAGGGCTCTTCGAGATCATAGGAGAAGAGGTGAAAGGGGCTATGAGGTACGTAAGGTAATTTTTCAACCGTTGGAGAGGACTTTGTAGCAGCCGACGAGGATGATGAGTTTTGTGAGCAGCTGATGGGTACAGATGAGGAGGGTGATGAGCGAAGAGGAAAATGATGCGAAGCGAATGGATCAGACACAGAGGATGAAGAACTGCTGGAAGGACTCTCTGCCCTAAAGCTCACAGGAGAAGGCCTCTCTTCTTGAGAAAGGACATTTGGAGAGGCCACCGGCTCTGAACTTTCTGGCTCATTTCCAGTCTCCTGCACTTCCGAGAGCCCACTGGAGATAAAAGGCACGTGAGAAGCAAAGGAAAGACAGGGCAGGGTAGGGAAGAAAAGGAAGTTACTGCGGCAGCTGTGAAGGACAGGTCACAATGAAAGCAAAGTACAAGAATTAACATAGGGAAAGCTGTATTTGCCAACAGGGTGCCTATGGGTGCCACGGTGCCCGCCAACACCTTTCCTGACTCCCACCAGGTGTTTTTAGAAAGTGGGCAGGCCACATGAGGTTCTTACCAATGCTCCCTCTAAGCTGTGGTGTCTGGTGAGCAAAAAGTCTAGTGAGCTATTGGCATTCAAGTTGTGAGCGAGCGATTTGGCTACTGCGTAAATTAGTTTGCTCTGGAGCCCTCCTTCCTGAGCTGAAACAAAAATGTGTGAGCTGGAGGCTAAAAAACTGTGAGCTAGCTCACACTAACTCGGCTTTGAGGGAACACTGATTAGCTATCGGAGATCTGATTGGCTGTGCCACAGCAGCCATTTTAGTGGCTGAGCTCACCATTCCAAAAGTGGCTGTAGGGTGGAAAAGGTTGGGGATCCTGCTCTTATCCACTTACACATTTCCTCAGAGGTCAAGGGAGACAGAAAGGGCTTTGGGGGAATCTCTTCTACATGGGACTCATCCCTATCACAGCAGGCTTTTGTCTCTCCGCTTAAAATCAGTTCAGAAATGAGTGCAGCTAGGCGAATGGGTCCTGACTGCCAGAGTCTGCCCCGGAATACAGGAAGGGTCCTCCCTTGGAGCCACGCATCACTCCTCTGCAGGACTCAGACTAAATGAGGAGGAACAACTGCGGGCTGGAAACGAGCTGCCAGAGGCTTCACGGTGAAGGGCAGATGCACAGGGATCAGGGTGATTGACGGATGCCAGAGAGGGGGAAAGTCTGGGGGGGGGGGAGTGCCCTCACGGGGCAGCAAAGCTCTTCCTCTGCAATATGGGCTTCTCCCAGTATCCCAGTTTGGTGTAGTGGTTAAGTGTGCGGACTCTAATCTGGGAGAACCGGGTTTGATTCCCCACTCCTCCACTTGCACCTGCTGATGTGACCTTGGGTCAGTCACAAGCTCTGGCACAGCTGTCCTTGAAAAAGAGCAGTTTGTGTCAGAGTTCTCTCAGCCCCACCCACCTCACAGGGTGTCTGTTGTGGGGAGGGGGGAGGGAATGGAGTTTGTAAGCCGCTCTGAGACTCCAAGTGAAGGGCGGGGTATAAATCCAATCTCTTCTTCTTCTTCTCTTCTATTGGGACCTGCTGATTCACTGCGTGGGATATTTTGCTGTAACCTGATGTTACCGTTTCAGAGGACAGTCCTCCAAGTCTTATAGGCAGAGAACCAATAATACAAATTGCTGAACTATTCTATTTGGAATTCAAAATATTTAAAAAACCCTCTTTGTTCAAGTAATTTAAAAAAATTGGAAGGTGTGCAGGAAAGAACCCCAGTTTAAATATTACAGGACAGCAAAATCAAACATTTGACCAATCCTTAAGAGGAGTGCTTTTTGCTTCTCATATATTTATTTGGTTTAAGATGCCAGAGGCCAACATCTTGTAATATAAACTGAAACACTTTGGGAAAAGAATAATGAAAGCTAGAACCTGTATTAACGTGTGCATGTTCATAGTGTACGTAACATTCATACACACAAGACAGACACATTTTCCTGTACCAAATTGATGCATTTTTAGTGAATAAATACATATTTTCTCCTAAAATATGAACAAGTAGAAATCATAAATTTTAATTTTGGCCTATCTGAATCAAGCCCGGTGTTTGCTAAAACTTTAAAAGTGGAAATTGGTCTACAAAAACTACAATGAGTGTTAGAAATAAGATGTAGGCATACTTCTATTATCCTCCTTAATTTAGGGCTTTCCCACATTCTCATTTTTGTTACTTGTGTGTCCCTGTCCCTCCCCCCCCCCGTTCTGCAGGTGTTTTGCTCCTTCTAGTGGTCAATTTGATATTATAGCAGCTTATTCCCCGCATATCTCTCTACAGATTGAAATTGCAGGTTTTCATGCCAGACATAAACTGATGTAATACTGAATCAACCACTAGAGGGAGCAAAACATGTGCAGAACAGGAAACACCCCCCCCCCAAGAAACAGGAACTTACAAGCAAGAAAAATGAGAATACACAAAATATCAGTATGTTGTCACAGCCCCCCTTTTTGTTTCTAGAGTTAAGGGAGTAGTTTTGTTCTGTTTTTTAGAATTTAGAATTATATATAAGAAGTGAAGTGAAGTGTTAGTGAAGACAATTTTTTAAAAATATATATATTTTAACAAGGAAATAACATAGAATTTAAAGGGCCATTAGCTACTACAGTGAGTGACATGCTCAGAACTTTCACTCTGAAGGTGCGGTTAGGAAGGGCTCGGTCCTGGTACCTGGCTTGGGCCTGCCTAGCAGCCTCTTCCTCCCTCTCATCCTCTGTATTGGGTTCTGTGATTGGTTGTTCCTCTTCCTCCTCTTCATACTCCTCCTCCTCTCTGGTATCAAACCAAGGGGAAAGAGGCACACAATTGTACAGAAAGACACAACATGGAAGAGAGAAATGAAATGAGAAGATATACCCAGAAACACACAATAATGGGTGAAAGCCAAGGGAAGAAAAGCACAGAAAATAGTTAAAACGGCAACACTTGGATGAAGTCTACTAGCAAATGGAAGTTTGCCTGTCAACTTTAAGTGCAGAATTAAATGAAGCAGTTGTTACAGAGACAATTCATAATGGCAGTGTGTGGGGCTCCCCCCCCCCCCCCCAAAGAATGACATTCAGTTTTCTTTCTGGCTTCTTTCTTCTGAAAGAATCTGTGGCCACCTCCACTTTGAACAAAGACCTCCATGGAACTCAAAGCCAGTCTTGTGCCTTTGCTGGTTTAAGATCAGGGTTGCATCCCCCCCCCATATATATTTAACCTGTATTTTATGTTTTACAGTATTTCTCTCCCACCCTTTGCAAAAAGTCTTCAAGGATAGATTTACCACAGAAATTGCATTTGTGTCCAGAGCCCATCGCAGCAGCCAAGCCAACAAAAAGCCACCACTGCGCCTGTGGAACTAATTCAGCAGAATAACAAAGGTTTTCCTTGGTACCAGATGACCTACAGAGATGGAGCAGAGCAAACATCTCTGGCAGGGGAATTCCCTAATCTTGATGCCGCTGCACAAAAGGCCCTGTCATGCATGACCACCCACCAAGCGGTATCCCCAACATGGTGCCTGTCCTCCACTCAGGCAACAGATCTGGTGTTGTCCATGGCAGCGCTAGGACTCTCCCAATATATAACGACCCCCACTCACCGGGCTGGGCACATGCTCGATTTGATCTTTGCGGCGGGAGTTACAGTGGACCAGATTACTGCCTTAGCAGTACCATGGTTGGACTACCTTGCTCTGAAAGCCCGTCTGAATGTCTCACTCCAACTGTGTTTGGGTGGCGAGCGTATTTTAGCTCATCCGCAGAGCCAAATGGACCCTATGCGGCTTCAGATGGCTCTGTGGGATCCAAGGCTCCCTGGCGGTTCATTAGATGAGCTTGTAGAGGATTGGCACAGCCGACTCTTGACATCCATCGACAAGATCGCTCCCCGACGTCCTCTGCGCCCCTGCTCTAAGCTCAGTCCCTGGTTCACCCAGGAATTGTGGCTTATGAAGTGGAGGCTAAGACAACTAGAGAGATGGTGGCAGTGTGCCTGCGACGAGGTCACAAGAGCTTCTTATGGGACGTTTATGAGATCCTATGAGATGGCTGTCAAAGCCATGAAGTGTGAATTCTATGTGGCCACGATTGCATCTGCGAGCTCATGCCCAGTCCAGTTCTTTAGAACAATTCGGTCTCTGACTGCCCTGCCATAAGGCAGGCCAAACGCTAAGGAATTGGACATAGGCTGCAAGGCCATTGCGAGCTACTTTGCAGATAAAGTCTTGTCACTCTGCCGTGACCTCCAGTGAACTCGAGGCTCAATGCATGTCTTCAAGTCAGATTATGGATCATTTCAGCCCACTCAGCCTAGAGGAAGTTGACAAACTGCTCCTGGCTGTATGCCCAACCAGATGCTGTCTTGATCCATGCCTGTCGTGGTTTATTAAAGCTGGCTGCGATGGGTTTCAAGGTGCCTAATTGAGATCAACAACTCCCTTACTGAGGGACTGTTCCCTAGGGCACTTAAAGAAGCAGTGGCCCACCCACTGTTGAAAAAACCTTCACTGGACCCGTCTGATTTGGCAAATTACCAGCCGGTCTCCAACTTACCCTATCTGGGCAAAATAATAGAAAGGGCTGTGGCAATTCAGCTTCAGGGCTTTCTGGATGATGCTTCCATTTTAGATCCCTTCCAGTCCAGCTTTCACCCAGGCCATGGGACAGAGACAGCACTGGTCGCCCTCACAGACAACCTCCAGAGGCATATCTGGATCGGGGTGGACTGGCAGGGCTGTTGCTGTTGGACCTGTTAGCAGCATTCGACACGGTCAACCATCAGTTACTGATCCACTATCTCACCGACATGGGACTTCAGGGGTCTGCCTTACAATGGCTTACCTCCTTACTCCGAGGTCGGGGACAAAGGGTGGCGCTAGGGGAACAGAGGCTCCCACTGAACTGTGAAGTGCCTCAAGGGGCAGTACTCTCCCCAGTGCTATTCAACATCTATATGCACCCCCCTTGCTCAGATTGCCCGGAGGATGGGCTGGGCTGTCACCAATATGCGGATGACACCAAGCTTTATCTGTTGTTGGGCAGCCAGTCTGACTCCAAACTGGAAGTTCTGGACCGGGCGTTACAAGCCGTGGCTTAGACTGAGCTGGCTGAAACTGAATACGATGAAGATGGAGGTCCTGTGCCTGAGCCGGGGTGGTCCGAGGGCAGGGATCCCACTCCTGACCTTCGATGGGGCACCACTGGTGCCAGCACCAGAGGTTAGGAGTTTGGGAGTGCTCCTGGGAGAGGTCCTGCCTGCTGAGGAGAGAACACAACCTTTCCTTTGGGT